TTCATTCTAAGAAACCACCCAAAGTAGCCTGGAAGCTTGTTTGTAACTCCAAAGAAAATGGTGGTTTAGGAGTTCATAATCTTTATACTCAGAATGAGAGTTTGTTACTTAAACACCTTCATGAGTTTTTCAATAAGTATGATATTCCTTGGGTTAATCTGGTTTGGACTTCTTATTATACTAATGGAAACTTTGCAATTCACAATAGAAGAAGGGGATCCTTTTGGTGGAAGGGTATTCTTAAATTGCTCAACTCCTTTAAGGACATGGCTTCTGTATTAGTTGGTGATGGCTCCACTTGTCTATTCTGGTCTAATACCTGGCATGGTGATCCTTTCAGTACTCAATGGCCTCACTTATTCTCTTATGCTAAAGAAGAACACATTCTGGTTTAGGAATTCATGGCTGTAGAAGATAAGTCTGATTTCTTTCATACCCCCCTTTCAGTGGAGGCTCATGATCAATATCAGTTATTACTATCTGAATTAGAAGGTATTCAACTAAATCAGATCAAGGATAAATGGAGTTACATATGGGGCTCTAATTTTGCATCAAGTAAAGCATATAAACAGCTGTTAGGCTCTATTCTAGTACCACCCATATACAATTGGTTATGGAATTCAAGTTGTCTACCAAAGAGAAATGTGTTCTTTTGGTTAGCCATTAAAGATCGTCTAAGTACCCGTGGACTTCTGAAAAGGAGAAATATGGAACTCCAAAGCTATAACTGTGTGCTCTGCCATCTAGATATAGAGGAATCTTTAAATCACCTCTTCCTAGAGTGTCCCTTTGTTATGTCTTGCTAGAACATGTTGGGATTGGCTCATCTAATTTAGGACATCTTAATCGATACAATATTCTTATTCAGAACCCAAATTCATCAACCCTTCTTCATGGAAATTATTGTTGCAATGTTCTGGGCTATCTGGACTGCTCGAAATGATGCAATCTTTAGAAACAAGCAACATTCTTTGCAATCCTGCAAGCAAGTCTTCAAGCATGAGCTAGCTCAAGTTAAACTTTGAGCTAAACAAGATTTAAGTTCACAAATTCAGTTATGGATAGACAACTTTGTGTAATCTTACTTATTTTCTTTGTTTCCTTCTTTGTATCTTGAGCTTTTGTATCAGACAAGTTCTGTATTTAAATTTTAATAAAAGTTCAGTAGGGGGTGACCCCTCCTGTTTCCCTCAAAAAAAAAATTATTATGTAGGCATCCCAATCTGCCACCACATCCACACTAATAAACTCATGATAGAGTTGTACATGATTTTCATAGAACATGCAAATCTAAACAATAGCAAGTAGCGCTATATATATTGGTGTCTTAATTTACCTATGATCTTCATCTAGCCACGTGTTGCTTCCTGCTAGCAAGCTGACCGATTTTCTGTGGAGCAATTGGAACTTGGGTGATACAGCCATAAATGTATTCATCCTCTTCTTTAATTTTCTTCACAAACTCACGCTCACCATATACCTCAATTTTGATGTCTACAGGGTACCACTCAACCTCCAAATCTATGAGTTCTAGAAGTGCAAATTTCTTTATCTTGAGTTTCAAAATTTCCACATCAGGAAGTATCAGCTTTGTAAGACTTGCAAATCCACCAGCAAGGAAGACAAGTTGATCTTGATCATCATTGTAGGAGTCTGTATCTAATATTAGAGTAGTGAGCGAAGGCAACTTGCCAAGCTTGTTGATGAAATCCTGCGACACCTTTGTCTTTGTCAATGATAGGAAGTTGAGGTTGGGGAAATGAAATTTTGACTCCTTTTCTTTAGATCGCAGCACCAACATGTCCAACTTGCCTTCTAATTCTAGTGTACAAAGACGCCTTAGGGAAGAGCTGGTGAACACACTCAGTGGAATGTTATTAACATCAATAGTTAAGGTATCTAGGTGTTTGAAGAAATTAGCTTTATCAATAATAGTGGATAGAGCCTCTGCATGAACACCATTGTCTTTAGATTCCCAAACATGAAGGGACTGAATGTGAACCATTTTCTCAAAAGTATTGCTATCCCAACCATTATCCATGTCAGGATCTATGCTTTCAAGTGTCTGCAGGTGTTTCAAGTCACCCACCTGCTTAGGCAAGAAAAGGCCGCCACCAAATACATGCCGCAGTGTCGTTATACTCCAAAATGCTTCTGGAAGTTTATAAACAAATGTGTCTCGAACATCCAATGTCTGAAGATTTTTGAGGTTTTGAATTGTTGACGGGATATATTTCAAGGAACAAGTAGTGACACCCAGGTACTGCAGGTGTGCCACATTCCCAATCGTTGTTGGTAAACTCTCACCGATCTCGATGCCTTGTAGATTGATGACACGAAGAAACTTGGATACTTGCAACATTTCTTTTATGTATAAGTTGGTGCTCTCTAGAGGGCTGTCTTGTTCCCCACAACAACGAAGCAAGACTGATAGTGGTTGTGGGGGTACGGCCCCCGGTATCCACAAGACAAGACATGGGCCGCACCATCAAAGGTGGCCCAACCCACAAGATCAAGGCGTGCACGGCGCTGCTCGACGTGCACCACAAGATATTGTATAGTACCAAATAGGCTACTTTCTTTGTAACCCTACCCCTCTAGAGTATATAAGAAGAGGCAGGGGTCCCCTAGCAGACAATGGCAGATAGATCTCCACAGATCACTATATCTCAATACAATCTACCAAAGACACAGAACGTAGGGTATTACGTTGATCAGACGGCCCAAACCTATCTAAATCGCTGTCTCTGCGCCTTGTGTCACCATCCGGTTCCTGATTACGCGCTCCCCCACCGACAAATCTACCATCGTGGGAAACCCCTCGGTGGACTACCGACGATATTCTGTCGACAGTTAGCGCGCCAGGTAGGGGTGTGCGCATGATCCATGGCGAGCCAGATGGACCTCAAATCAACAATGCGGTCTTGTCGTCAATCTTGTGGAGATTCATGTCGGTCCACGACGATGATTCATCGCTGGCTACACCAGCCCCCGCGATAGCAGATCCGATCTCAGAACCACCTCCGAGATCGTCTTCACCAACAACTCACCACCCGCCAGGTGCTCACCATCAACACCGACCAGATAACGCCATACGTCGCCGACCAGACTTTCTGTCTAAAGCTAAGTCACGCTTTAATATTCTTCTAAATATTCTTCAATCTCCGTATATCGCCATGATGTTTCTCCGAGCTGTTTTCTCCATGTTTGCTGTCCAAACGATTTTCTGAACCCCTAAACAGTCATGTTGATGCTTGGACGCCTCTAGAGACGGCCCTGTCTCCGGCTCCTCCATACACGTGCACGAGCGTCTGCCCTCTGCATTATGGGTGGTCGACAGCGGCTCCTTAGCGACACTTTGTTCTTCCTACACGTGCATGGGCTTCACGCCCCGCGTTATAGTTAACTGGCTAGCTAGGGCTGGAGACTCAGCTAAACACTAACTATTCGGGCGATTTGTATTAAATATAAATACATCTTCACACCAACTGACCGCCGAGCTACATACACTATTTTTTCTCCGGAGTTCATATATTTTTACATCATGTACTACCCATTCTACATGTTTGTATTGTAGGATCATCATCCAGGTGATCGGATCACCTGGTGCTCGGACTTCTCCACCGATCAACTGGTCAGACTGCTTGGTTCATGGACTCTGTCGCCGACCAGTTGATCGGACTGTTCACCGGTCGCTTCTACTCAATGCTCACTTCGCCGTCGACCAGTTGCCCAGACTGTTCGTCGCTCGTGCTTCATCGCTAGCTATGCCGGTTACTCCTCGGCGCTCGCATTCTTCATGCTCGAGGACTAAGTGGGCACACTTCACCGCATGGACGTTGCCAGCTACGCCGGGGACTCCTCGGTGCTCGGACATCGCCCGCTACGCCGGGGACTCCTCGCTCTTCGGGGCTCGACATCGCCAGCGACACCGGGGACTCCTCGCTCCTCGGTACTCGGACATCGCCAGTGTCGTCGGGGACTCCTCACTCTTCGATGCTCGGACATCGCCAGCGACACCGGGAACTCCTCGCTCCTCGGTGCTCGGACATTGCCAGCTACGCTGGGGACTCCTCGGTGCTCGGACATCGCCAGCGACGCTGGGGACTCCTCGGTACTCAGACATTGCCAGCGACGCTGGAGACTCCTCGCTCTTTGGTGCTTGGATATCGCCAGCAACGCCGGGGACTCCCTTGCTGCTCAGATCTTGCTACGTCTCGTCGGTGTGCTATCAAGCTGCTCCATGCCGTTCGGATCAGGGTGCTGATCTTGGGCAGCACGTCTGGGGTCTTGATACGCGCATGTCAGACGACGTTGGCAAGCTTTCAGACTTCTTTTTCTTTGACCCTGCTACAAGATTCATTTTTCATCTTCCATCAGGCTCGGGGACTAAGTGGGCACACTTCACCTTGCGGTGAATGTGCGCTTTTCTTATCTCGAGGCTATGCCCGGGGACTGGCTGCCTGCTTGGCTGGTCTTCTACTTTCATACCCTGGCACCACATGACTACGTCACCTACTGTCAGGCTCGGGGACTAGCTGTGGGGGTATGGCCCCTGGTATCCACAAGACAAGACATGGACCGTACCATCAGAGGTGGCACAGCCCACAAGATCAAGGCATGCACGGCGCTGCTCGGCGTGCACCGCAAGATATTGTATAGTACCAAATAGGCTACTTTCCTTGTAACCCTACCCCTCCAGAGTATATAAGGAGAGGCAGGGGTCCCCTAGCGGACAACGGTAGACAGATCTCCACAGATCGATACATCTCAATGCAATACATCAGAACATTAGATGTAGGTATTACGTCATACTAACGGCCGAACCTATCTAAATCTTGTGTCTTGGTGCTTGTATTACCATCTCGCTCCTGATCTCACTCACCTCTATGACAAATCTACCATCATGGGATACCCCTCGGTGGACTGCCGAGCATCTTTTGTCGACAGTGGTGTCACCCAACACTGAAGCAAGTTTGATAATGGCAATGTACTGGGCATCACTTCCTGTTTTGCTTCTTCACTTGTTTTAGTTTTCCCTCCTTCCTAGTAATTTCGTGCAATCCCTCAACTCCCCCGTTGTTTTCATTGTCTGCACATAACACAATCTCATTATTTTCATCTTCTTCTCCCTCTCCATCCCCATCACCTTCTACCTTTTGCTCTGCCTCTATGTCTCCTTCCTCTTCTGAATCTTCCTCGTCATCTTCACTTTCCTCATTATCTTCATCCTCGTTATCATCACTTTCCTCATTATCTTCTTCTTCCTCATCAACTTCGACCTCTTCTTGGAAATTGGACAAGATAGATCGTAGTTTTGACAATGAGCTGGACATAGCAGCATATTTATCTGTATAATTTTTGTAGCGAGAGGCGACAAGTAGTTGCCAAAGAAGGGATATCGTCACCATTATGGATATCCACAAAGTTAGCCTCGTGTGCTTCATGCTGCAAAAATTCATGAACCTTATGGTGGACAGCCACAAATTCATCACGACCACCGGCATTGTCTGTCTTCACTAACTTAAGTAGATGCCTCATAACCAACTCCTTCAAATAGATTATTCCAACTTTCTCCATTGTTTTCCCATATTTTGGTCTTAGAAACCCCTCTTCCATCCACATACATACCAATTTGCGAGCCTCAACGGGCGTGTTCATAGGCAATGCAGCAAAGTAGAGGAAGCATGATTTTAGGTCATGTGGGAGATCATCAAAACACATGGCAAGTATGCTATCAAGCCTTTTTGATTTCTTGGACTCAAGGTGTTCAAACACTGCTTGCCACTCATTTGGATATTCCTTTGTTTTTATAAGGCCAGACAGAAGAACAATGGCAAGAGGAAGGCCAATGGTTATACCATGCAGGACAACATCAAAGTTCTTTATCTGATTCTCAAAATTTTCTTCCATGCATACCCTTTTGATGCATAGGCTACTGGTGTCTTCTTTTTCAAAACATTCCAGCTCAATCCAGTATTCTTTATCGATAGCAGGAGGTGGCCTCTTATGTATACCTTGCATGATACAAATAATCCTACTACCGTTGTGATCTTCTGGTAATGCATCAAGGATGGTATTCCAATCACTATTTCTAACCTCTCCATCTATGACCAGCAAGAATCGGTTCTTATCCAATACTTTCTTCAATTTCTGGTTTACGTCTTTTTTTGGACAAAAAACATTTGTTTCCTCCAATTCCATAAGGATTAACTATAGGATGCCTGAAGACCTTAAATACGGTGGGAAGCTTACCCAAGCTTGTTCAAACTGCTTTGACTTGGTTGTTGACTTTTCATATAGTTCTCTGACTAGTGTTGCCTTGCCCACACCACCTTTCCCAGTCACACATATAAGAAAGAAGTACGTCCTTTTTGTCACAATAAACTGCTTCTTCAAGCTTCTTCCCCAGCTTCTGTTTGATCGGAGATGGTTGGACATCATCCGTGTACACATTAAACATGATCTTTTTAGTCCTTTCCTAAAAACAAAGGCTTTCATTTTTGAAATTTACTCGACTCATAGTATCTACCTATAGTTCAAACGAACGCGTGTGAACTGTATATTTTTTAGAGAAATTTGGATATCTATGCAAGACTATATAGATCTAGGCCATCATTATTGTTTATACCCCTGACTTATAAAAAGTACTTATATTAAATGGTATTCTCTTTGTTGATTTTCTAATACAATAGACATAATATATACTCTATGGTGCCTACGTAGTTATGATAAATTTATCATTTACTGATCTATACATTTTTCATCCATATTTATAGTTTTTGTTCCTTATATGACCCCTCTATGTATCTTCAATACACTTACTTGAAAATTTAACCTAAACTATGGCTCTTGTTGTGGGCCATATCTTCATGAGTCCTCAAATTCAGCTGAAGCTCTTGTGTTTTTTGTATCTTTTTTATTAGTGCTCCTTTTGTACTTTTTAATGATAAAGATTTAGGTTGTGGATATAATGGCTAAACAATCATTTAAAACCAACACCATATTGCTTAAGATGGTTGGTAAAGTTTAAAGTGAGATTTAGGATGGGGCAACAGTGCTAACTTGAAAAGGATATATTTAAGCCTCGTAATGACTATTTACTCTAAAGAAATCTCAAAGGCCATGAAGATATAGCCATCTTTCTTATGCACTAATCTCCCCCACTTCTCAAGATATTTGAATTTTCTTATCAAAGAACTATATGTGTAGGGATGAAAACGAATGAGATCAGCTGGAATAAACCACTACAAGGAACCTGTTAATACATGACAATTAACTTTTGTCACAAATCACTACATAACCGTCACAACATCTATGATGGTTTTAGATATCGTTATGTATTGAGCGTCATGGATTGATGTGCATGATGGTTGTTCGAAAACCATCAGGGATTAACGCAATCCATGGCGGGTTTAGACCATCATACATCAACTAGAGGCCCATTCACCCCAGCCCAAGCCCAGTGTTTATGACAGAAAACCATCATGGATTAAACAACCACATCATCATTATTACCCTGATGTGGACACCGAGTCAGCATTGACATGGACACTGGTGTCAGCACTGACGTCAGCAATGACATGGACACTGACATCAGCGCTTATTTGGACACTGCATGGAGGCTGAGTGGTTGACATCAGCGCTGATGTGGACAGTGCTGACGTGGACTGTGACATGGCTGCTGACATTATTCTAGCGCATTTTTGGAAATCTCATCCTGATATAACATGCATTACAGGCAATAAATCAAATTTTGATCCAACACCGAAACAAATTGGGTTTTTAATCTTATTGGAGGCACTCATGGTTCAATTTGGAATTCCTTTTGATAAGCACACGGAAGTTCATTTAAACTAGAAAATAAAAAAAAATCGAAACTTCTTCACCACAGTATGTATGTAGCCTATTTTATGCCGGAAAAGTTTAGAGTATAAAAAACATTTTTAAAGGTTGCTTCACAAGGTGCTTTATGTAGATACATAAGAATGGAAAACAAGCCATATATATAATAGAACCAAGAAAAAATAATTGACGTCCAAGCAAATGCTCCCTATTGGTAGATAATGATTTTATAAAAAAACTAGGAAAAAGAATCATATCATTTGGAGTTTGCATGTGAGAGAAAGACATGTTACAAATTTTGACTATTATAGATTATAAAGAGAAAACTTTTGTTCATGTCTATGATTTTCTAGTATTTAAGCAATTAATTTTTCTACCAAAAACTCATATGAAAAGGTCATGTTAGAATGGCATGTGGGGTCTGAGCATCAGGTATATATGGTGTATTGATGTTTTATATTTTTACAAATGAATGACATCATGACTTTGTTTCTGCGTGACTGAACTTTGGCCTCTTCGTACTTGAATAACATCTACGTGAATATATACAAATATAAGAATAAAAGAACCACATCTGCAACAAACGTACAAGTGGTGTAGTTGTAAGTCATGGTCTTCTCATTTGCTAGGTGTCAGGTCCTAATCCAGCCTATAGCATAACTATGGTTATTTTCATTCTTTTTATGGAAACAATGAATAATGCAATGGTAAGACATTCTTTTCTCATCTCCGGTGTGAGGCGCTGGGTTCTATCTTGTTTTGCTTCACAATTTAGCCGTTTTCATTCTATTTAGGTGAAAATAGAGTAAAAGGGTAAAATAACCAGATTTAACACAAATAGACGAGTAGTGCCTTGGTAAGGCACGTGCTCTTTTCATTTGCCTGGTCCCAAGTTCGATCCTTTTTAGGCACCTGCAAATTCCTATTTCGCTCAGCATCCCATATTGAGGTCGACTGGCTAACAGAAGCACCTTGAGGAAAAACATGAATTTCATATTTCTTTTCCTCCCCTTTATCAAAACCAACCATAAACTTATCGAGATTGTCTTGGGTTTTAATTCTAACCAATCCTCATATGTTCATTAAGCGTTGTAGCGCATTCATCATGCATCATACCAGATCTTGGGGATGTAGATGTAGTAGGAAGATGATTAAAGTTGACATCTTGGATCTTTTTGATAGCGTGCCGCTGATCCACCTCAAAGCATGCTAGGGCATCCAGATCAACAACAACTTAGGCCTTCTCGCTCTCCTCTAGCATCTTGCATATCTCCTTAGGAAGTTAATCGGCCAAAGGCTTGATGATGTTCTTGGGATTGCTCGGATCAGTCTTGTTGTCAGACATCTTCACAGTAGATTGATTTGCTCTCATCCTCAACGGAGTTTCCAAAAAGTGTGCCGGTGTTGATTTCGATCACAACAACAGCCGGGGTTAGATCACCCGAGCACACACGGACTAGTGAAAGCGCTAGTTTGATTTTGGTTAATTGAGGCAACCTAGTGGACTAACCATATGCTTTAAGTGTTGTTTATGAGATAGGTTGGTTCACACCCAAGGTGGAGCTAGGATGACACTCAAGGTGATGGAGGTGGCAAATTGGTGATCAAGTGCTCCACACTTTGGAAAAGAAGAAAGAGAAAAACAAATGCAAGGGCTCAAGGTAAAGGTATATACAAGGGTATTTTGGTTTGCCGATCAAGAAGCAATAGAGTGCGTGATTAGATTTAGGATAGATAGCTATACTATTAAGAGAGAAAATCTTAAGGCTAATGCAGTTATCTAAGTGCCACTAGGTGAAGTGACACATTGCATATTCATTAAGACCTATTGGGCTAACATAACCCTTTGAAAATACTTTGAAAAATGCTAATTCACGTACACGAGTGATTGATATACTTGGAGCTAGCACATTTTACAAAGGGTTGAAGAAAAGAAAGGAAGGAGCTTCTCAGGTTGCATCGGACAAAACGGCAGCGCAAGCATCGAACAAATTGCCTCGGGTTGCTCGGCCTCGTTAAGATTGTAAGTTTTTTCACTCTCTTTTCATCACATTAAATTTTTGATACATGTATGGAGTATTAAATGTAGATAAAAAAATAACTAATTACATAGTTTGATTGTAAATTACGAGACGAATCTTTTAAGCCTAGTTAGATCATGATTAAACAATAATTATCAAATACAAACGAAAATACTACAATACTAAATACTGATTCCTAACCCCAATCTAAAGCCATCCTTACGTGGCATCGGACAGAGAAGGCGGATGCCTCGGACAAATTGAACTTGCGTCTGATGGCATTCCCAAGCTACAGCCAGACATGACACTTGCATCGGACGATAACGCAGAGGCGCATCGGAACGTCAGACATCACTGTTCTCTCGGTGACCAAATAGTCAATGGAGCATCAGACGATGGTACATGTCCGATGGACCCGCATCAGGCTTGTCCGATGTGAAAATGACCTCTCTACATGCTCTCTGGAGTGTATCGGATGCTAAGACTGTAGACAACGCGAAGAGCCGTTGAGCGCCATAGTCAAATTCAACGGCTAGTGCCACGTGCCGCACGAGGTGCATTGGACGCAAGCGCTATTTGTCCGATGTGGACACTGTAGCATCGAGTACCCCTGGAATTTGCCCAATTAAGGTACTGGTTGGATGGCTTACTTGGGGTGTATAACTAGGACTTGCTCGGCCCATGGCTGACTCTCTTGGCTCCCCGAGATATTGAAACACCTTGTGAGCATAACCAAGCCTTTACCACTCATCTCTTTCATGTGTTGATTATCCAAGTGAGTTGAGAGTTATTTCTAGTGCATTTGCATTGAGTTGAGGCATCTAGTGGCACTAGTGATCACGTTTTCTGTGGGGTTTCTTGTTACTTTTGGTGGTTGCCGCCACCTAAATGGCTTGGAGCAACAAAGGATCGTTGAGCGGCTATGGTGATTGTTGTCAGCTTCGATCAAGGCTTTGTGAGGGGCTCTTGTGCCTATTCCCAGTGGAAGATTCGCGAAAGGCAACTCTAGTGGAATCGTAGCTTGGGTAGTGCCTCTCTAGTGGTTCTTGCGGCGCCCTTGTGGTGGGCTTAGAGTGTGATGCCAATTAGCGCGCGAACCACTTAGTCTGAACTCGCCACAACATGGACGTAGGTTGTTGACAAGCAACTAAACTATGGGGATATATCTTGTGTCATATTGTCTCTTCCCTAGTTCGGTTTGCAACTCATCCACTCTTGTATTTACATTCATATATTTGCTCTTGTGGTAGTTGCTTGTGTAGCCTAGTGTAGCATGCATAGAGTAGATCTTAGTTGTAACTAACTTAGCCTCTCTTGTTTAGTAGCTTTGCTAGTTGT